GTCAGGGTCTTGCAGGAGGCAACCAGTCGATGTGTGGTCTCTCCCTCTCCCTTTCTCCCTTCCACGCTATCTAAAGATAAATGGGAAAATATACTTGGATGAGGATTAAAAAAAAAAAGACTAGTTATTGTTCAACTTCAGCAAGCAAATTCCATCCATTTCTGAGCTCTGCCTCATGTGCCAGCCCCATGCATTTGATGTATTTTTCTCTTATTCTCAGCACAACCTGGTAAAGGAGGTTTTGCAGGTATCTATTGCCGCACAAGAAACCACCCCAAAACTTAATAACGTAAAAACAACAACCATTTATTCTCAGGATTCCATTGGTAAATCGGGCAGTTCTTTACCGCCATGTGACGGTATTCAGCTGAAGGCTCAGTTGGGGGACTCGGTTCTTCTGCAGTAAGTTCCTTTCCTTGTCCCCCAGGGCTTTTCCACATGGCCCTTCTCTCCAGTAAAGTAGGCTGGACTCCCTTAGAGCACAGCCGCTCAGCTCCAAGAGGAGGGGATTCTGAGAGGACACCCCCCCCCCCAGCGTTCAAGTGCTTATGCTTGAGTCACGCTTCCTAATGTCCCATTGGCCAGAGCAAGTCACACGAGCCCTCAATCAACGTGATAGGTGGATGAATATCATGTAACCCACTGAGGGCCGCCAATGAAACAGTCTGCACAGTAGGTCCCATTAATTCCTCTTTTGTAGGTGAGGGTACTGAGGCTCAGAGAGCTTAATCCCCTTGCCCAAAGTCATTCCACATGGCTAGAGACAGAGGGCCGAGGTCTGCTGACTCCGGGGAACGTGTTCTTTGCTGATAATACTGAGTTATCCTGACACAGGTGGAGGGTGGACAGTAGGAGGGGGCAGGTACCAGGAGCCCAGTGTAAATAAGAACTGAATTTCCAGGCCCCTTAAACCCAGAGGACAGCCCAGCAGATTCCCTGCCCTGCCTGGAGAGTGTTCTCCCTGCTGGTTCCGAACGGCCAGCAGATCAGAGCCACGGGGCTGTGTGAGGCCACAGGCAAAACCGGGAGGCATTGAAAACATGCTCCAGACCACAGGCCCAGTTTTCAGTCTGGCGTTGTGCCCCTATGACCCCCAGCCTTGTCCCTCCCCCTCCTTGCCTCCAGGATAGCTTTACAGCACTGGCTTGCTTGTTATTGTTCACTCTGGAGTGCCTACCACTTTAAAGCTAGCTTGTGCTTTCCGTGAGAATGAGGAGCCCTCCCGGGCACTGCAGCCCCTGTGCTTCCCCCAGGCTCAGCACCTGCCACCCCGGGCTGTAAGCATCTGGCGCGTCCCTGTCTGCTCCTCGTTAGTAATCTCTTTAGGGCAGGGGCCTTTAGGACCCGTCTCTGGCTCCCAGCACCCACACCCAACAATGGTTGGACTTCACTGAAGGGTGTTTCTCCTGGGGGCTACTCCAAGTCTTAGCACGATGCCCATGTTTTTCCCGCAGCCCCCAAAGACTTTAGGGCAGGGGCCTTTAGGACCCGTCTCTGGCTCCCAGCAGCCACACCCAACAATGGTTGGACTTCACTGAAGGGTGTTTCTCCTGGGGGCTACTCCAAGTCTTAGCACGATGCCCATGTTTTTCCCGCAGCCCCCAAAGACTTTAGCAGACATCTGCTGGGTGTCCTGCCCTGGGCTGGGAAATAAGGGGGCACTGAGTCAGGTAAGGCCCATGCTCCAGCCCAAATTCTTTCCCTCATTTGCTGGGTGACACTGAGAAAGTCACTTAACCTCTCTGAGCTCAGCCTGCCCTGTATATCCAGTTCAGACAACAATGCTCTGTTCTGTCTAACTAACTAGGGTCAACAGGAAGCTGAGGCTGAGAAAATGCCTCCTTTGCAAATGGACATAGGCTTTGTGTGACAAGGATCCTTCTCTTTAAGGGTCTGATCTGTGGGGCTCTAGGAATGATTTTCTACACCCAAAGAGTCTCCTGCTCTCTGTATCCCTCAGTCTGTCATGATGCCTGAAATTCTGCCATCAATCATTCTTTGGGTAAGGTATTTTTATTCATACCTAAATGGTCCCCGTTAAAAGATTCCAAGTGATCTGGAAAGGGTGACACACTCGCTCAGGAGCAAAGCCTGATTTACCATTAATGGCCGTTCTTTTATGCCCCTTCTCTGACATTGGTGTTAGAAAGCAAACAGGTGTGAGCTTTCTGGAGCGCAAGTTGGCAGCACTTAGCAAAAGCCTTAGAAGCATGCACACTCTGTAATGCACCAGTTCTTCCTCAGGAAACTTATTCTAAGGAAACGATGTGTTTTGAACTATGTGTACAGGGAAGCCTCATTTCTAGTTGCACAAAATTATAACCTAAATGTCCAAGAATAGGTAGTAGGCTAAATAATAGTGTGTGTGAACAGTGAGCTACTACCGGGCCGGCCCCTGGACCAGTGCAGCCACACAGACCCAGCTCAGAAGGGCCCTCACTTGGTTTAATACTCTACTGTCACCGTCTTAAAATTCTTAATCGTTTTTTTAAACGAAGCCCCTCATTTTTGTTTGTCCCCACAAATGATGTAGGCATTTCCTGAATATTATGTAACAATTAAAATAATGCATATGAAGAATATCTGTTGAAGTGATTGCTTCTATTAAATGAGGAAATAGGGTACAAAACCATAAATGATGCGATCCTAATTTTTTAAAAACAGAAATATGTATGTGTATCAATAGAAAAAAAAAAACACGACAGAAGTACATCGAAAAGTTAAAGTCATTATCTCTTTTAATGACTTTAAGCAAGATCACAGGTTTTCTTTTCATTACTATGTCCTTTTCTGAGCATTTCCAATAAGGAGAGTATGAATATGCTCATTGACTCCCATCTCTGGTGGAGGAAGAAGCGTGTGTATCGTAGCTGAGACCCAGTGACTCTCTCTTGGCCTCCAATCGAGTCTGGAGCCCTCAGTGTGCGGACTAGACTTCTGGATAAGCCCAGTTAACGATGAAGCCAGGTGCTCGTAGGAGCTCCTTGAAGACGAGAGCCGTCTGCTTTCTCAGTCCCCTCCCCCCTTCATAGGCCTGGGATGGACAAGGTGCCCAGTGAATGGACATCTTGTGTTGTGGCTTGAGGTCACTAATGGTCATTACCCATGACACACCACACCAGACGTTAACTTATGTTCTGACTCGGAGGTGGGACCTTCTCTCTGGCTTGGGGTTGGATGTGTGCCCTGAGTGAGCTCTGGACCAGGGAGAAGAGCTGCCCCACCCCAAGTCCCCCTATGTCCCATCACTCCCAGGGAACAGGCTCCAGGAGAAGCTGGATTTATTCCTGTGCGAAGGCGGGGGACACAGCTCATTCCACTTGTCACCCTTGTGCGTGTGTCTCGTCGCAGGCATCATCGCAACAGCAGAGGGCAGTAGTGATCAGCAAGCCCAGGAAGGAGCCGGTTGGAGGCAAGGGAAGGTGGTCCTCCTCTAGGGAGTGGCCACACCCCACACCCATGTCCCAGATTTCTCCTTCTCTCCTAAATCCTTATCAGGTTGTTGCTGACTGTCCTGACTCAGCCGAGCAAGGCCGGGAACACAGGATCCCAGAACCTTACCTCTGTAAAGCCAGGGCCTCTGAGTTCATGCCTCTGACCCCCTCTTAGGGCAGATGGGAACACTGGGACCCAGAGAGGGACTTGCTCAGAGTCACAGTTGACAAGGGGTAAACGGGGCTCTAACTGCTACAGTGGGGAGGCAGGCCCCGAGTGGAAGGGCTGTGCAGAGGGAGGCGGTGGCTGCACACAGGGCAGGTGCCCACTGCACACAGGGCAGATGCCCGCTGCCCCTGCACACAGGTCCCAGCCTAGGCCACGAACTTCCGGGCTGTCTCACCTCTAACTTCCAACTCCGAGCCGTGTTGCAGGGTGGGCCTTGGCCACTCCAGTAATACTGTGACATCTCCCATTGACGCAGGCTGGGCCTCCTGTTATCCGCCTTCCCTTCAGCACACCCCGCACCTGCAGGGCACAGCGCTCAGGGAAGGTGTGAGGACTCCAAGGTGGTGGGGGAGGTGGGTAGCCCGCACTAGCAGGGCAGGGGCTTCCATCCCCTTCCCCCACAGTTCCCGGGAACCCTCCCGAGGAGCTTCCTGAGCACGTCGGTGCTGTCTCATCTCTGTACCTTCGTTTTGTGGTGGTCCCCCAAGAACCCCTCTCCCCAGCACCTCCTTTCCTCTGCTGCAGCCCCGTTCCTCTGTCCCTCAGGCCCAGCCCTGGTGCCTCCCGCTCCCGGAGCCTGTCCTTCCCTGACTTTCCTCTGGATTCCCCCGCCTTGGTCTGTAACTGGGTGACCCTGGGCCACTAGGGAAGCAGTGAAGTCAGTGGGCAGGGGGACTTCACAGCCCTACAGCTGTGTGTTCTGACCGGGCACCGCCATTGACCATGTGGATGAACGTGGCAAGCCTGTTAACTGTAACATGAAGATGCTAATCCGTGTCCCAGATGACAGTCAGGAGGACCCAGAGTCCGCACGGGGAGCGCCTGCCAGAGCCACATGCCACCTGCAGGGGGCGCTGGTGCTGGAGGCAGTTCTTGGGATGAACAGCTCTTTGAGGCAAGGCGGGGTGTTTTTGGTATCTCAAGACCTTGCAAATGGATGAACGAATGGGTGAATGAATGAATTCTGGGGAGGGGCAGGGAAGTCTGTGGAGTCGGCCTTTCACCAGCAAGAAGCCGGCCGGCAGTCCTCACCGCCCGCGCCCGCTGTGCGCTCGCCCTGGAAGCCCTCCTCTCTTCCCAGCCCGTTCTCAGCCTTTGCACGGACAGCCCACTTTAGTGACATTTTCTCTCCTAATTACCCTTTTCAATAAAATTTATTAAGGTTTTTGTAATTTTAAAACCGATTTGAATATTTTAATAAGAGCACATGATGGACAGGGTGTATTAGGCTGCACATTTTCTACAATGAAGGTGACTGGATTACTGAGGTTGGGCCGCCCTTCCCCCAGCCTCCAGGGGATGCTTACCCAAGACTGACACTGTTTTCTGCTTGGCAGACCACGGTGAGCTGGGACGGGGACAAGCTCGAGTGTGTGCAGAAGGGCGAGAAGGAGGGACGCGGCTGGACCCAGTGGATTGAGGGTGACGAGCTGCACCTGGTAGGTTCCTGGGGCGGGAGTGGGGCGCCAGGCTGGGTCCTAGAGGCACTGGTTACTGCTGAGGTCTGGAGGGACTTGGAAGAATGCCCCATGGCTGGGCCTTGGTTCTGCTCTGAAGTCTCTCTTCCAAGGGCCTGGAGAAGACACTTGAGCGACTTTAAAAACTGAGCAATGTGTTTTCTAGGGCAAGGCCAACCCACTTGTCCCGTCAGAGGTGAGGCTGTGGGGCTGATCACGGGGCTAGTCCTTTGTTTCTATTCTCTCAGCAGCCCTGTGGGCCGGGTCCTGTTAGGGTTCCTATTTTCAAGATGAGGGCATAGAGGCCCACATCCAAGTTGCATGGGTAGAAACTGGCGGAACTAAATTTACTCCCAAATGATGTCCATTTTCACCATGCCCATTGTGGCAGACACGAAGCTTCTCTAAGACAGGATCTCAACAATCGAGGGAGAAGCCTTTCTCCGCTCAGGTGTGGGCCCCATTCAGCCTGTCCTCCAGCCTGGGACCCCTGGTCAGAGTCACTTCTCATTGTCGGGGAAAAGCATGCACAAACCCGGAGGAGGGGCTTAGAGCCCGAAGGCCTGAACCAGCGCGTGTCTGAGAGGAGGCCTCTCATCACTCCTGTGCCCTTGGAACTGTCTCCCTTCTAAGAAAGGAGCCTGGTCCAGGTGACCTGGGTTCTTGTCCCGACTCCCTGGGTGCCTTTGAATAGGCGCCTTCCTTCCCTCAGCCTCATCTGCAAAATGCCATCCCACCACACAGGGATTCTGCAAAGATCAGGGTCTGCAAGAGCTCTGGGATGTTACAGGCTGGGAGGCACGAGGGCTTTATTTTCAGAGGAAGCGTAGGATCATATAGAGAGCCTAGGCTGCAATGCCTGACCTTGAGCGTCTCCTCCCTGGGCCTGCTTCCTCCACTGAAGAGAACTGAGGGTAGATGATGTGATCTCCATTGGTCTTTCAACTCAATGGTTCTGTGACTTCCTGACAGAGGCTGCAAACTGGGGGCCACCGGCCTCTTTCATTTGGCCATCAGTGGGCTTCAAACTTCTTCATCCAACAATTTAAGAGTTAGGTGATGTCACATAAATATTCTGATTTCTAGCCTCCTTCAAAAATACCCTTGGAAGGTGTGGCAACATTATACAGTATTGTTATTTGCCCTGGTGGCAATCGGCAGGGCCTGCCCTGTGGGCAGGGCAGGGGCTTTCTTGGCTATATTTTAGTACTACCTGGGATCTTTTCATAATAGCAACTCCAGTTTCCAACCACTGAGACACTGATAGAACTGGTCTGCCTAACCTGGGCCCAGGCATTTTCCAAACTCCCCATCTAACTCTAACAGGCAAGTAAGCTTGGAACCACCGTCTAGTTTGCCACTCGAGTCTGCAGGAACTTACTGAGCCCTTGGGGGTGGAGGGGATGGAGCCATGTGTCTGGAACTGACTGCTTCCAAGACTGGGCACAGACTGTGTCCTGGGTTTAGGCCTGAGGTCTTAGAGCCTTTTGGCCCCTTCAGAGGTCAGTGTGAATGAACATCAGAGGGTCTGTCTTATTGGTCCGCTCTGAGCCACATCTGTTTCCCAACCAGCTCTGTTCACAGGCTGTGGCCTGATCCAGCTCACCTGACTTTCCAAGGAATTGGTCAGTTCAAACTAACTCTTGGGAAAACTAGCAGCCACTGAGTTTTTTCAAAGTTTCTGCCCCTAGATGTCCTGAGCCCCACGTGTGAGCTTGCTCTGGCCAACGACAAGCATCTGTTTTTGTTTCAGGAGATGAGAGTGCAGGGTGTGGTCTGCAAGCAAGTGTTCAAGAAGGTGCACTGAAGCTGGGCAGAGCTCAGTCTGGAGGAGTGAGTGGCATGGACGTGTGGGCCAGTGTCCACTCTGCACAGCATGGGGCAGAGACGTCCAGCCACCTGCAGGTATCTGTTAGCAGTCTGTCTCTTGGCTTTGTCTCTTTTCCTTTTCTTAAAATGAAACCACCCCAATAAAAGTGATCTCTGCTCAAGAATCTGTTTTGGAGAAGCTTCACAACCCCGCTGTGCTCACTTTCTCTGGGCCTTCTGAAGTCTGCTTCTTCTGATGCCAACCCCGGACAGAGGCAAAAATTCAGCCACATACCCAAGATTTAGTCATGGGGTTGCACCTGTGTGATCTTTCCCCGAGGGCAATGGCTTGGGTCTGGGGTGTGGCCCGACATTCAGTCATCTGTGTACCTACCACACTGCGTGTCCAGTCAGGGTCAAAGTGCAGTGAGGGCCACGGAAGCCGGAGAAGATGCTCTCTGCCCTGGGAACTTAGAGCCTGGTGAAGGGGATCCAACCAACAGAGATCTCTGACCTTGCATGTACTCATAGGCGATGTTTGAAAAATTATTTGTGAATGAAATAGAACTGGATAGCAGTTGGGAAACAGCTAGAATGAGGTGAGCCTTAATCAGAGGCAACCACCAATTGGATCGGATTTCAGAGGTGTCCTGAACTAACCCCAAACCATCCCCACCTCATCTATGGGCTGATGTAAAGCCTTCCTTTTCACTGTTAACATATTCTTTTTTAATTTTTATTGAATTTATTGGGATGGCATGAGTTAATAAAGTTATATAGGTTTCAGGTGTACAAGTCTATAGTCCATCATCTGGATATTGTATTGTGTGTTCACCATCCCATGTCAAGTCTTCTTCCACCACCATTTACCCCCCTTTTCCTTTTCTTCCCCCCACCCCCTTCACTGTTATAGATGAGACATAACTTGCAAATTCCCCTAGGAGAGGGAAAGCAACCTCATGTTCATGCTAACGTGTAATGATCGCTAGCTGTGCCTTTGTATAAAGAAACATGGAAACTGAAGGGTGAGTGAGGAGGAGGGAGACCATGGGTGGGGAAGCTACTGGGAAAGGGAAGACATACATGGAGGACCCCTCAACATCAAGTCTGCCCAGGCTGTGCCCTGCCCCTCGAAACAAGTACCGGGTTAGGAGTCAGATGAGTTGAGTTAGAATCCCAGCTCCACCACCTACAGGGCAGCGCCGCACCTCTCTGGACCTCACTTCTCCAGTTAGCAAAACCAGCATAGTGATCCACCTCACCTCCTGCACAAGGGGTGCAGCTTGTAATGCACACGAAACCTATAGACTGCCGAGCGCTGGACCAGTGTCTCTCAGAACTGGCTAAACATTAGAACCACCTGGGGGGTTTTCAAAACCAAGCCACACCCCAGAAGCGATTACATCAGAATGTCTCAAGGTGAGACCCAGGCATCAGTATTTTTTTTAAGCTTCCAGGTGATTCTAATAAGCCACTGGAGTTGAGAATCACTGTCCTAGACTAGTGTTTCTAACCTGAGGGTGATCCAGCCTCTGCCCAGGGGCATTTGGCAATGTCTGGAGACATTTAATTTAATATCTTGGATGTGGGAGCTTTCCTGGCCTCCCTGGCCTCTGCCCACTAGATGCCAGTAGTGCCCCCCACCCAAGCTGCTAAGCAGAGGCCAAGGATTCTCCCAAACATCCTGCAGTGCACAGGACAGCCCCCCACAAAAGAAGTAACAGCATGTCAGCGGTGACAAGGCTGAGAAGCCCTGCTCTAGACAAGCGTAAGAAATGTTTAATGTTTTTCATCACTAAGGTCGTTTCCCTAGCCGAGACCCAGGAAAGGAAAACAGAATAGCCTGAGATTTGGGAGACCCCTTTACCTCTGTGGCCCTGGTCTCTGTTCCTGAGCAGAGAAGTCAGGCAAAGATTCTTATAAAGACCATTCATTCGTTCATTACACAATGTTTAAGGAAGACCTATTATGTGCCAGGCACTGAGCTAGTGCCACACCTGTTGGGCATTCAGGAGTTCCCATCAGACCACTCCCAGTACCTCCCTCAACAGTGGGGTTCTGATGGAGGACTCAGCGGTGTGGCCCCCTTAGTGTGAGTGCGCCTGTGATGTCGGAGTCAGGGCTCCACCCCTGGAGCCTCTGGTCCCAGCGGGAGACCCAGCCCCACCCTACTGAGTAGCTTGAATAACAGAACCTGTGTTAGTGGACAGTGGGAGCCCCAGGAGTTTTTTGAGCAGGAGAGTGGCAGGATCAGCCCTTCAGCAAAACTAACCTGGTGGCTATTCCCAGCGGGAAGAGGAGAAAGGAGCAGAGTACCAGCCGGAGCTGAGCCCAGGGCGGCCACCTTCCATTCAAAATTCACTTCCTATGAGATTAAGCTTCCGGAAGAAGGATGTGTAAGGTGGGAGGGGTTTTCTCACTGTGCCTAAATCTGTAACCACAGAGGCTTTCCAGCGGCTCTGCAGCTGCTCGGCCTCAGCCGTGTCTCAATGTTTCGCCCCTGAGGTTGGCGACAGCGCGTGCCAGGGTTCGGCAGCCCTGTGGCACCTCTCACCTCCGCCCGCGCTGTTGATGTTCGCTGCGTTAGTGGAGCACTGCTGCCGGCTCACCGCTTCTGTCCCTTGGACATCATGGTTACAGGACATAGAAAAGATGTTCAGTTATAACAGCAGTGCCTGGCAACAGAACCAGCACTGGTCACGGCCTCACTGAATTTCCAAAGCACAGCAACGTACTGCGGTGCCCACAGGACGGACCCCTCACCTGGTGCCACAGGCTGTGGAAATAGCATCGCTGTCTCTTGCAATTCCCTGGGCCCGTTAACCCGGGAAGGTTTGTTTGTTTTTAACTGAAGAGTTTCAGTATTTCAAAATACATTCTAAGTGAGAACTTATTAATATACTTACATCACGTGACTTCAAATTTTCTTTTTTTAAATATGTTTTCATTGAATTTTTTAGAGAGAGAGAGAGAAACATCGATGTGAGAGAGAAGCATCGATCAGCTGCCTCCTGCATGCCCCCACTGGGGATCGGGCCTGCAACCCGGGCATGTGCCCTGACCGGGAATCCAACCAGGACCTCTCAGTGCATTTGACGACGTTCAATCCACTGAGCCACACCAGCCATGCTGACTTCAAATTTGCAGAAACTAGGACCGCCGTGTGCAGCAACTCAGGCAGGAGGTACGAGACTGAGCCGAGGGCAGTGGCGGGCCCCGCTGGGCAAAGGCAGCTGGCTGAACACCCAGGCTCTGGAGCCACTCGGCCTGGGTTCAAATCCCAGCTCCGCTACTTCCTAACTGTGAGGTTAAAGCAAGTCATGCATCCCCTGTGCCTCAGTTTATCCATCTATAAATCGGGCTAACATTTCCTCAGACGTTGTGAGCACTAAATGAATCTAGTACATGTAACAACTTAGAATAGATATACAGTACATTTTATTTGCAAAGAGACTTGAACAGTGCCAGGCATATAACAAGCCAATTTACATGTGAGATTGAAAAAGAGAGCGAGAGATCTACGAGGCAGTTCAGGGGTGGAATCAACCTGACCTCACGGTATGGGTGACAAGAGGACTGGAAGCTCAAAGGCAGCAGGAAAGCATCTTGGCTTGGCCAGGGCTGGAAGCCCCCAGTGGCAGAGGGAGGGGCTGAAGCAGGGCCTCTGTGACCCCAGTGTAGGTTCTCTGCCACCCTCGCCACCACCACACACAGGAGACTGAGCACGACCCTGGAATCTGATGCACACACAGTGACCCTCCATTCCAGGGATGGTAGGAGGATGGACTTTGGACCCTCACTCCCCAAGTCCCCGCAACATCATTCTCTGGGCAACGCCCCCCCAAACCTTCCCACAAGTGAATCCTGACCAGGCAAGCCCCAAGGGCCTCTCAGGAAGCCCGAATTCATATCTTGTCTCAGTTCATTGAGACTCCACTGCTGTTGCTTTCAGGTGCAAATTCAACAGCTTAACGCTGCACTGCAGTTGAAGTCTGCTTAACCCTCCTAAAGGCCCCTGTCCACACCAACACTGACAGGAGCAGTCCCCCGGCCACCCGCCCCCACCTGCAGATCTGGGTCTTTCCTAGCCTCCCTTCCCAGGGGCTTCACCAACTCAGCCCAGCCTCCTGTCCCACCCGAGCTCGGGGCACCTGCAGGGCTGGGTCTGCATAGGTGGTGGAAACCTAAGCACCCAGGTCACGGGAACGGGCTTTCTTCTCAGGGCGGTTTGAACTTGATTTGCTCTGAGCAGGACACTTACCAATAACGATATCTCCATTCCTTCCCCAATAATCAAAACCCTACCAATCCTTCAGAGGTGGCCTTAGGGCTCTTTCCACCCCCACAGCCCACGAAACCCCGAAACCCCCTTGTTTGAGTTCTGAGCCTCTCAAGGTGGACCCTGGCCATTTCATTTCCTCTTTTTGAGATGTCGCCTATAAAGAAATACCAGATCAGAATGACAAAACATGTGGTTTATTTTAAACGGTCACATGTAACAAATTAAATAGTTTAGCACACAGACATACAATATAGTATAATTATGTCTTGCTGGTTCCAAGGGAGTTACAGGCTTTATAAAGTTTATGAGTTTATGGTGTGCCCGAGGCTGTCGAGTTTAATCAACGTCACACAAGTTCGAAGCTGGAGAAGGAACTTCATTCTGTCCCGTTACTGTCTCTCGGTGACCTTCACTTGTCACTTCATTTGGCGATGCGTCAAAAGGTGAAAAGCCCGTCATGAAGGTGAGGTCTGGGCCCGCGCACCCTTTCCCCGGCACCACCCCACTGCGGCCCTGCTGGAAGTCAACACTTCACTCTCGGTCTCAGCACTGTCTGGGACAGTCCTGCCGGACACTGGCCACATTTGTGGCTGTCGTCTTGGGAGCAACTCTCCCACCTTTGGGGAGCTGCCTTCACGAGGAGTTCCATCTCCCCGAGGGATTCGCAGGAGGAAACCAGCCTTCCAGCCTACCCTGCCCCTAGGCTCCAGGCATGAGGCCGCTCCCCTCCCTCAGGTGCCCCTGGAGGAGGGGCTGGGAAGAAGCATGTGAGGAAGGTGGAGGGTGCAGATTCGATTCTCTGGGAAGGGTGGCAGCAGAGGACTTGGCTCTGGGGCGGCACCAGCTGCAGAGCTTCTGGCCCAGTGTCATGGCGCCGTCTGCCTTGGTAGCGGGTGCAGAACGGAGGGCAACCAGCTCTCTGCCTCCTGCACGACTCCCCCCGAGCTGGTCTTGCCAAAAATTTAACTTTGAGCCTGTTCAGATTTCTGGATCTAAGTATATATTTACAGGAATTGTTAAAGGACATTTAGGGAAGCAATTAAGACATCCCAGACTGAGAAATGGCAGGACAACAACCTGGTTTCTTTAACAAATCGCAAAAAATAAAAACAGTACAAGAGAGGGAACCTGGAGTCTAAAAGAAACCCAGGAGACATATCAGCTAATCATTCTATGTGGCCTGCATTTGAATCCTAATTCCAATGAATGAACTGTGAAAACAAACTGAAATGAGGAAGGATATGAGATCATTAGAGAAATGTGTCCACAGACAATATTTGACAATATTATCGGAAATGCTGTTACATTATTTAGGTGTGATGATGGCATACAGTCACATATTCTAAGAGTCCGTACCTTTAGAGATACACACGAAAATGTTTATAGGTAAAAGGCATAATATCCAGGATTTATTTCATAATAACTGGGGAGAGGACAAACATAGGAATGGAGATGAAGACTGACTAACCA